TTTTATCAGAATTTGGTGATGTTGAAAATCTCCTTGGATGAGCTATCTGATGTAGGCACTGTTTCTAATGCTGAATCTTATGTAGAACGAGACCTATTTGTAATTTTGTGCAAAAGAAGGGGTGTACCAGCAGACCTTGGAACTGCTACGTTTGTGGATGGGAGGAAGAAGGTGGTAATTTCCAGGGGACTTCCAACAATTAAATTTAATCTATGCTGAAGCAGAAAATGTAAATCTTCTGCCTTGTTGTTGTGCACATAAGGTTGTTCAGTGACTGCTTCTTTTTGTCACTGTTGGAGTTTTGCAAAAAACTTGTAATATGTTATTGGTCTGAGTTAAAACCAAAAAAACCTGCAGGAACAGTGCAGAACCTGCAAGGGTCTCACTGTCCTTGGCTGTGCTGGTGCCCCAGGCAGCTGCCGAGTCTGTGATTGACCAGGTTAGTGGTGTTTCAGCAGCCTTTCTGTGGAAGAAGGGAGGAAAGTTCTAAGATGTACATCACAAAGAAGAAAAAATGTGCTGATTTTAGCCGATTCCTTGCTTCTAAAGCAGATAAAATGTTACAATATTCAAGGTTTAAAAAAAACAAAAAAAACAAAAAACAAAAAAACAAACCCCACACCCTAATGTAGGTCTTTGTACTCTAAAATGTTTTTCCTGTTTAAAAGTATTTGATTCTGTTACTTTTAGAAGTTTTTTAAAAGTAGAGTAATTAATATAAGTATATGGTGCCAAAGCCAACTATAGATGCACATGCTGCCTGTGGATGTCTTATATCCTTACCCTTTTTAAAAAGCTTCTCTCCCTGCAAATTGTCTGGCTGCACTTCATAGCGTAAAAATAAAAATGACAAAATTGCCACGATATAAAAATTTTTGCTGTCTCCTTCTGTAGTAACCAGCGTTGATTATGCTTGGCAAATAATAACAGTTAAATAACAGGACGTCGAAAGACTTTATTGCAAGTCGCTGTTATTTAAACTAAATAGTAGAGAAGTTATTCTAGGAGCTGAAAACAAAAAGACATAGTACCTCTACCAACTTGCTCTTTGATTATTTAACCTGTTCTTGGGCGACATGAAATAATACAGATGTATGATCTGACTGACAGGAAGAATGAGCTGCAAGGATTTTCTGATTAGGAAATTCCAAACGCAGTATATGAGGTTCTCATTGCTCTTTTGGCATTTCCTAATTCATCTGATAATATTTTCACGCCAATAAAATTGTCCATAAAAGAAACTTTGCAAAAAATTGTTTTCAGCCTGGACTTCATTTAAAATGGTGGGGTCTTTAAGAAGAGTAAAAAGAAAATTATATGCTGACTTACTCATTTCTGCTGCCACTTGAGACGCTTTCCAATACTCCGCTCAGCTATATCTTGGTCCTTGGCCGATAAGTGCTTCCAGAGTAAATCAGGCAATGGTTACAGCAGAAACTGCGTTACATTCATTGCCTAGTGCCCGATTTGGAAGTGGTAGCTGAAAGCTCCACTGGAGAATGGGGTGGTGGTTTGTTTTGTTTTTAGTTCTTCTGTCATGTATATTGTAGTGCTCCTTGAATTCCAGTTTCACTAAGTGACTTAGAGCTTGTCTCAAAGCAATATAGGAAAGATAAGTTAAAACCCAGTTTTGGGTTTTAAGAGTCGGAGCTGGAAAGGCCTGTTCAGGACACATTTAGAAGGGAATCTATTACAGACCGGCAAAGCCAAACGCCGATTAAGCTATCGTGGTCCCTCCGGCCTGAGTTTTGACTTCTCACTGCTAGAAGATGTATTTCAAAGCAGAACTGAATAGATAAAACCGAAGATTAGGGCTTATATGATCTAACACCTTGGCTGTATATGTTTGATGTGTTAACTTGGGTAAGACTTGCAGCCTGTCTCGGAAATGTAGAAGGTGATGCTGAAGATAAGGGAGAAAAGAATTAACCCTGTCTCCCCTCCTTAGTATGTCAGGGCCCTGGCTGGGGAATGATTTTTGCCCGAATGTTTCCTGCAGGTGTTAGCAGCCGTTCAGCCTGTGTGATCAGGTGGATGGCAGCGCATATCAAGTCCTGCTCGGTGCTGGTGTTTTAAGCTTCGATCACGTAACGCTGGCTGTGCGAACGTTGTCACTCGTCTTGCTGCAGTAATACTAACAGCAGTGGGAACTTTTTAGAGAAAATTATAAGTGGAGTGAAAGCCAAAAGTGATTATAAGTAGTACTTTGGGAGAAGAAAGGGAATGGAAAAATAGAGGGTAAAATGAAAGGAGAATATAAGTGAAGTCTCTTGTGTTTTCTGCTTCTGATTGAAATTTCTTAGTTTTATTTTAAAATAGGACAGAGTTCTATAAGAATATAAACATGCATTTGACAAGAAATGGAAGGAGAAGTGGTGAATAAATTCCTGTCAGATAAGCGCTTTGGTTTTACTTCTGGAGATTTGGGACTAGTTTTATAACTCTCCAGTGATTGCTCTGCAAATTTCTTGGAAGGAAAGAGGAGTAGTTGGAATCTAAATCGTAGACTGCTGTGAAGGAGAGAGGAAGCTGAACTTTTATGCAGAGAAACGTGCACGCCAATAATGGGAAGTAGCAAGTGAAGATGGAGCTGAGTATTGCCACCAGCCTTTCAGGCTAGTCGACAAAAGGGAGCCGTGAGGGCCGGGAAGGGGAGATGCACGCTAGCCGGTGCATGGCCATAGCTAACGTGTTGGATGAAGCGCGTGGAATAAGTAGTCTAGTCTCTATATGTTGTCTTGTATAAAATAAAAGCATCAAATTGTTTTTTTGGGTAACGCAGCCCACATCACATATCAAGATTTATAAAAGCTTGGAGCTTCAGTGTTAAAGGGAAAGTTTTTTTTGAAGTAGATATTTTCAACAAATGAACGCGGATTTAGGATCCTATCTCTAACTCTTAGATATCTCCTTTTGTAACTTTTATTGCCTGCCATAAAAGAATGGTTCATGAATTCCTGCTTTCTTCTCACTATCCTTTATAGATTGTAAAGAAGTCAGTTCTTTGCTGTAGCTCTTAACTGCTGTAGGTGATTAAAACAATTTATGAAGAAAACATATATATATTTTTCTAGGACGTTCTGCTGAATGTGACTCCTAAGCTTAGCTTTGCTTTTATTTTGAGACATGGGTCAGTGTTTATCAAACACAATACGTTCCTTTTTGACACTACATAAACAGTAGTTACTAGTCAAGTATTATAGCTGTGTATATTTAATAGCTACTGCAGAACTGGTCTGCAGAGCTAAGATTATCTAAAGATAAGATTAAAAATCATCTGTTCAAAGTTCAGGTGAGATCATTGCTTTCAAGGACAGAAACAGTTGAATCTGTTATTCACTGCTTTATAGCAGAAGCACTGCATTTGTACTGACAATTAGACCTGTATTGCAAATGAGTTATTAAGGCCAATAGCAGGGTAATAGAGCACTACTTTTCCTGCATGAGTTCACATACTAGTTTGGCAAGGCTGTTCACTGAAGATATAAAACTATTGTAGCATACATCTTAATTTTATTAAACAAAATGCCCAGATCTGTTCCTGAAAGTTTTATCTTAGTCAGGTAAAGAAATGTCTTCTGTAAATATTTAAGTATTTGAATTCAAATAAACTGTTCAGTACTGAAAGAATTTTTAAATTAAAAATTATAATAAAAAGATCTTACGTTGTTCAGCACGGGTTCTGCTTTTCTTCATCATATGAAATTAATTTTAGAATTGGGGTTTTGAACAGGATAAACTGACTTTCAAAGCCAGTCAAACATTAAGCAGTTATGGGTAAAATGTCCGGAAGTTTGTCTTTGTTCACCTCACTTCTCTTCTATGCTTCTAATACAGTCTGCAGTTTCTGGTACCTCTGCTATGTAAACTGTATGCATGATACCTCATTATTTTATATTCCAGTTAGTTATCATTTTACTTTTTCCCCCTTTTTCCATTTTTATTTCTAGAGAGAAAAAAACTCAGGAGTACTAAGCTTAAATATCTTCCTTTCACTTTGGAAAATGTGATAGTGTTGAACCTGGTTTTACAAAAATCATAGCTTATTATTTCAGTCAATAGACCTAGTTCATAAGCCTTAAGAAGTGATACTATATATGTTTGATATTACATGTGGAAGTTCAGAGTTTTCAGAGTTTAAGTTTTCCTGCTTATTTTATAATAATCTCTCAAAAGTACATCGCTTATTTTCTTTCTACAAGCGTAAATATTTGATTAGAGGATATTCTGGTGAAAATCACAAAGGGCACCATTTATATAGCTTTAAGTAGGACAAGAATTTCTTTTTTCTTATATGTAGCATGAATCTTCTTCCTAGATGAAGAATTTGTGTGCATAGGGTTCCAGCAGTGTGAGACTTTGTATAGATAGGTAAATACTGCCTCTTCAGTTTTGAGTAAATTCTTGTTGCTAGTCAGCCAGTTACTCGACTGTTCTATTTTTGCAGTCTTCTGTTGTTTTCGGTCTTTTAGCGTTCCTTTTAAATTGCATTAGCAAAAGCGTATTTTGAAGTTCCAGCTGAACAATTATGAATGCAAAAGCAAATACTCCTACTAATTTTCCTCAGGAGTTCTCCTAAGCACTAAGTGAAATTAAGAGAATGAGAAAGTGAACTTGGCTTTGCGTAGCAACGTTTTGATACAAGTGTATTTAAACAAGCAGTGCCATTATTTCTGCTAAGAATTTCCAGAAGAACCAAGTCATCTCTTGAGACTGATAAACAGTAGTAGATAAAACAAAGGGATGTGCTCAATAGGGTACAGTTTAAATAGAGGAAATCTAATGGGAAATAGCTACATTAATAGCATATGGATTTGCTTCCTGAATCTCAATCTTAGTGGAAATCCTAGACTATTTAAAATTTGTCTTCCGGATTCTTAGCCTGATTAAATAAAAAAAAAAAAAAAAAGTGGATAAAGCAATTATTTTCTTGACCTCATTACTATGATGATTTTTTGGTCTAAAACTTACTTTTTAAATAATTTATTTATTTACACTAGGCTATTTTTATGATTCCTACAAATCCCCCTCCAACATTCAGGAAGCCAGAGCTCTGGTCTGATGAATTCACAGATTTTGTGAAGAAGTGTTTAGTGAAAAATCCTGAACAGAGAGCTACAGCAACACAACTTCTACAGGTCAGTATATAAGTTACTGAGGAAATGCATGTTTTATGGCTTTCTTTTCTTTTTTTCTTTCCTCCAATCTCAAGCCAGACCTGTTGTGAAAATTTCTAAGAGCAAGTCCAGTCTTAGCTGTTTCTATGCTCTGTTTCTTTCCATGTTGTGGTCTAGCCCATCTTATTCATAACTCTGTTGCTGCTTCTAAAAATGAATTTCTATTTATAAAGTGTAGGACTGGTTCTTGCTATTAAAATTGCATTCTTGCTTTGTGGATAGAGGCCCTCATTAGGTTTCAGGATTTAGCAAGTGTTAGGCAAAGGAATTGAGCCCAGGTTACTCTTTGGCGGGGGCCACTTGGGGAGCGTATTCAGTCTACCTTTCTGGTCATGTCAAATTAAGCAGACGAGTTGTGTGCCCTGAAAGGGTCTGAAGCAGACGGGCAGTATGATGAGCAGTTTGTCCTTGGGCTGAGTTATGCCAGCCGGGCACTTGAAATCTAAGCCACAGTTGCCAGTGTGGATCTGTGGAGCCAGTCAGCGGTGTGCCAAGCTTTAGCTTGCTCATTGACCTGAGTTTCTAATAATTGTGGAAGCGTCACAGTTGTATCTTTGTGGTACTGAGATACAAATAAAGCAGAGGAAATTCAAAGAACTGCAACAGTTGAACAAACAGCAGGGACCTATGTGTCAAGAAAGATGTGGCATTGTAAAATAGGCCTAATTTTTTAATAGGGCTGCACACTTTAGTGTTTGGGGGGGGAGAGAAAATGCAAAGGAACGTTCTGCTTTTGGCCCCTTATTTGTATTATTGCTGCCTTCAGTGCTGTCATAACCAGCCTTCAAGTCACCAAGGGAAAACGCATTTATTCAAGTGTTACAGAACAAATGTAGTGGAAGAAAAAAAGGAGTTTGGATTTATTAAAAAATTAAAATTGGTTCTGACAGGAAGTTTTAGTTTCCGTTTCACTTGTAAATACTCTTTCTTTTGATGATAAAACAGAAACTAAATCTTGCTAGGTCCTTTGGTTCCTTTTATTTTTCTGAATCTTCATTCATTAACCTATTGGATAATATGATGTCCTTTTAAGCTTTTCATTGCTCAAGATGTTATTCTTGAGGTTCTTAAGTAGACTGATGAACAAAGAAAATGATTATCTTCCGGAATCTCAGCCATAAGACTCTTGTGATAGTTGTTGTTTTGTTTTTTTCCGCTCCTGTCTGCAGATAGAAGTATCCTCTTTTTTTAAATATAAATTGGAGTCAGCTCCACTACAAGGGGAAATCAACATTTTTGGAAGAAGTTTCCAGTAATAAATCTCGAAATTCATAGCTCATGGTATAAAGTATCTTGTTTTTCCACACTGTGAGATCCTCACAATGTAGAGTGGAAGGACAGTGCAAACTCAACGTTTTAGATTTTAATATGATGAGTGAATCGGGACTTCAGATCTTTAGGTTTCAGATACCTATAGTTAACTGAAAACTGGCAGCTGGATAGAAGAGACTTCCATTAATGCACACACTTTTGGGGAAAAAAAAAAAAAATTCAGTGAGCCACTTTCCTTATGCCTACTGGCCAGAAAACCAAATACTATGTTTTGTCCAATGTATGTACCTATTGTCTTTTCCCCAACTGGAATTTAAAGGATGCATGACAGAACTGGAAATGCTATGGGCTATAAATGGGAATTAAAGTACTTCTTGAGGGGGAATATCCCGGAGGGAAGAGGAGGGTAACTGGCCTAATATGGTAGGGGAGAAGACAGGTAATACGTGGAGGACATGAGACTTCATCAGTTCTGTTCTTAGTGGAACAATTTTATGTAGTAATATAGTTCTGAGACTCCGAGAGTTGCATTTTGCCTTGATTCTGATTTTTGAATCATTTCAGTAAAAACATTATCTTTCTGACAAGTGTTTACTAGAGAGCAAAATGAAAGGAAATTGCATTGTGCACAAGTTGCCTTAAAGGGGGAACGATGTTTTAAATGGTTTTGAATTAAAAATAATCTTCCTGCTAAAAAGTAGTATATTTTCTTTTGCTTGTTCCACGTTTCAGCATTGTAGATGATGAAATGTTTTATGACACGTTAAAGTACAGATTTGTTGAAGTAAGCAACAGCCATAGTTGCTCTGCTTACAGCCATTAATTTATGCTGTCAGCTTGTTAAGATTAATTAAATACTGTAACTGAATATCTGAAAAAGTTTGCTATTCCATGTCAGACAGTCACCACGCTATTTATTTACTACTTAATATGCATTTCCTTTGGACAATTATATATCCTTAACTGCTAAGCAGTTGTGTTTTATGCTTACATTTCCCCATGGCTTGTTGTTTAAAAAACCCAGCTAAATAAAATAATAGAACAATTATAAAGCAGCTAAAGGTATTGGGTGTTGTGTTAGTGTAGTTTTTAATTATTGTGTGATTTGAAATACTGTTTATCATTAAGATCTGATGTTGAATGATATGTTATTTTTAACATGAGTGACTTGTAATTACGTTATATCTGAAGAATATCTATTGTAATGATGTTGTATAACTCCATGATCTTGTTTTCTAGCATGCATTTATTAAGAATGCCAAGCCAGTTTCAATTTTAAGGGACCTGATCACTGAAGCTATGGAAATAAAAGCAAAGCGACACGAGGAACAGCAGAGAGAACTAGAAGAGGAGGAAGAAAATTCGGTGTGTATCCGTATTTTGTAGATTAGCTAGTGTTTCCTTTTTCCTACTTTCTGTACTCAGATGCACAGATACTTTTACTGTTCCTGCTTTTACTCTTCAGCTTGTAAAGTCTGTGTTCTGTTCTTATTCATGCTGAGTAAAATGCTTCTGTGATAATGTAGCATCAGCCTGTTTTCAGCGCTTTTGCATGAGATGCCATACTAGAAGATGGAAAAGAAACCGTGTCAACTTACTTGTGCAAACTGACATTAAAAAGAAAAAAGTCTGCTAGTTTATACTAGCAGGAACCGTTAAGTTTCCATTTTTACATATGAACTTAAAAAAAAAAGAAAGTCATATAGTTCTCAGAAGTTCAGACCACTTAGCTTTTTCTGAAAAGTCAAATATATAAAATAGTTATTCATGAAGCATGATAAGTAGTCATTAAAGTATCGTTTGACTCAAGTTTTGTGTATAAAGTGAAAATGGTGACAGCAGCTGATTTCTCAGATGACATTGTTAGCATATGTTTGAGGGGGAACAAGGTCATGTGGTAAATCGGTTATATTTATAATTGTTTAGTGATGTTAGAAATAAATCGGTGTTCCTTAGCGTTATTACTCTCTCTACATGATTTATTTTAGGGCAGTCTTGTGCAATGCAGCAGTATACGTTTCAAAGAAGTGTATTGCCACACATTCCGTCAGAGCCAAGGTCGTTCAGGAACAGCACACAAAAGATGGAGGCTGGGATGTTAGTAGAAATCTTGCAGCTTTGAGCAAACACACTAGAACAGTGCAGGATGCATTGTCTGCCTCATCTCAAATTATAGAGTCTCTGTTACATAGATCATCATCTAAGACTATGTAATACATCTAGGAATGGCTTTCAAGCAAATGCTATAGTGTGTTTTGAATCCCAACATGTAATATGGTCTTTTGTTTGCAGGATGTTTTTCTTTTCTAAGAATATTGGTAGTTTATGTTTATAAAACTAGTTTAATCTGGATAGCATTTGCTTATTCAGTAATAAAAGAAGCAGGGAAGGCTGGGATTATTTTTGGCATTAGGAAACGTTACCTATGTGGAGATGTGTGACTTGACATGCAGAGTTGGTTTGTTACTTAATATATAGAATAGTTGACCTTTGAAGAGACTGATTTATAACAGACATAAAAACTTAATGTCTTTACTAGCATGATTTCCTCCCTACTATTGCCTTCCAAATTACAAACCTCAAATGTTTGGGTGTTTGGTGATGTCTTTTCCGGGAGCCCAGAATGAGGAATGACACTTAATTGCACAGTCTGAGGTTCAGATGAGGAATCAAATGAACAGGCAGGGACTAAATAATCCTTGCCAGCCCAGTATGTGGTGTGCCCCACATGTTGTGTGGAAGAGTGCCACCCAACTTCTGTCTACTGTAATAGAAGAAGGGTTTAGCAACTTTTCATACTTTTTGCATGGATACAAAAATCAGAAATGAAGACTCCACAAATAAATAAATACATATATATATATACATATATATTTATATATTCTAGACTATTCAGTGTTTAGTACGAGAACCTCAAATACAAGGTCTGGGCAGGAGTCTGTTATTTGCGTACCATTACAGTGTGCGGGAGTTTTACCATTTAGTTGTATAGTTGAGTCAGGCACTAGGTTCTGAGTTAAAAAGACAGCGAGACCTCAGTTTTCACTACCTATTGTAGGATCTAAGGCATCTATCTTTTAGTAACAGAATTATCTTTGGTTAGCAGGGCTGAGAGAGTAATAGTTGTTCATTAAAAGGAAGTGCAGTCACATTATAGTTCATGGAAATGTTAAGTTCATTACTTTTTACTTATATTAGTCATTTCTAGGGGCTGTGGTCATGTATCAGTGCGTGAGCATGAACAGAGGCTAGCTTCTGCCTGAAAGAAATTGGTCTTTAACATAAGGCAGAAAAGCAGCGTGGTTGACAGGGAGGCACGGACAGAAAAAAAAAAAAAGATGAGTCAGCACGGGAAGCGCTGGCATTAGCATATCTTGCCAATTTTTTTTCAGGATCGTAAAGTAGAGGAGTTTTAAAGGACAATAACGGCAGTCTTGCAGAGGGCTATTGGAAGCCCTGCCAATGGTAGCAGGGGACGTGAGGAAAGAGTAAAGGGATTTGAAAACTTAACAAGTGGCTAACTGAATAGACCAATTTGAGATCGGAGTTGAAATCTCAGTACTGATTGAGATACGATGGAATAGCAGAAGGCCATGAAGGGAGCTTGTGAATGAAACTAGTCACCTTACGCTTGAGAAAAGGAAGCTCGTAGAAAAATGAAAAGCAGGGTAGGACTTTATGATAATGAAACAGTGGAGAAGTTGGTAGAATGAACCTTTGCAGTGGTATTACCTAGAGCGGAGGGATCACTTGAGCATGGCAGGCAAGAAGGAATGAGATAATCTGAATAAAAATGTTAGCAGTATGGACATGTTGAGGAAAGGGTGTATTTCTTAGGGCAAGCTCTTTTTACTGATATAACTATAAAAGATTTCAGAATGATTAAAAAAAAAAAAGTTGCATTGAAAGTCGAAACCAGGGCACATTATACCATATGGTATCCTCAGAGCTCATTGTTCAAATTGTTTGTACAATAGCTTTACAATCCTTAGTAATTTGATCTCTTGTACTCCTTTTTGTCTTCTGCTATGATGCTGACTTACAGGCTATAGTTGACTGACTAAAGTTAATAGATGATATTTGTAAGGGGTACTGAGGGATGGATCCTGGATACTGAGTGCATACTGTATTGCATTTAAATGCATAAGACATAATTAGGCATTGACAATTGAATTTTTAAGGTAAGAAGTTTGCTTTGTCAGTGAGATAAGCTGGTTGCTTCTATAGTCTATTTTACTGCCAAAGGTTAGGCTTAAATCAGTGCTGAAGGTAGTCTGAATACAAAGCTCAGAAAAATCAGTTAAAACTATGTCTTGCCTTTTCTTGCTGTAAAAACACTAATTTTAAGAGTTCATGTGGGCACATACTGCATCCTGCATGGTGGAGGTTGCCAAAGGTACTTATTCTAACAGTTTATGCAAAAGTGCTCTTCCTTGGCAGGGGGACAGAAAGGTTAATCCTTAAAACTTCATATCTATTCTGTTTGCTGTGAGAAAGATCCCGCAGTAGACTAGGCATATCACAAAGAGCCCATAGTCAAATTCATTGTGGGCTAAGGTAAGTCATGTTACGTAAAACTTGCTGCAGACCTGTGTGTTCATCTGAAGGTACAGTAACTCAGAGGATGTGTTAGTAATGCCATGGTAATGTAATTGTGAGTTTAATTGTGTAGCTCTCCAGCAAAGGCCAGCGTTGCTCATAGTACAGAAAATGAGTATTTTTTTGAAGTTAGTTTGTGTCATTCTCATAAACTTCAGTAGGGGGAAGGAATAGATCTGTTTGAGCTTGGGAGGAAGCTCCAGATCTAGAGGAAGACCGCGTGCAAAGAGAACAAGAAGATACACTGAACAGATGAAAGGGGTGTACCAGCTGGCATTACTGGAGAAGTAGAAATGGCATGTGTCAGTGTGACAATTCTGTATTTTTTTTCCTGACGATGGAGAGAGAAATTTCATTATTCCTGAGGACTGATTAAGCTGAAGAGTTTTTATGCCTTGTTTTATTCACTTAAGTCCATCAGCTTTACAGAAGTAAGGCTATAAGCCACTATGTATTTACTATTGCAAAAATGTCTTGTAATAAGTGAGGGGATAGCTCATATTAGTAGGTCCAGGGATCTTTGCTGTAAGGTTTATATGGAATAGCTAAACTTTTGAAAAGGTGGTATCCTTGCTAAAAGATTAAGTAAATTTTTTTTCTCCTGTCTTTCAAAGAGTTTAGTTTGTTCTTTTATGCTATTTAGAGATATATGCCTCTTTAATTCCCTAAATTTTCACATGATTCTATGGTTCAGAGAACCAATCTGTGATAAGGCTTGTGAAGTTGTAATTAGGATATGATTTTACTTTTTAAAATTTCTTAATGTGATATTTGGTAGTAAGTATGCTTTTTACCACTGGTAAACATATACCTCTAACCATTTTGTTTTGCTTGGTAAGCCTTGAGTGGGGGGAAGAAATTCTTAACCTTAAATTTTAAGTTAGAGCAAGTGAAATTAAAAATACTGAGGGGCATGGGGAATTTACTTGTATTCTTGACAAATACAGTTTGCATGAATCTCCACGCTTAGTAGCGACCTGTGAATAGCTGTCATATGGTAACAATATGTAATTAATTTTGTACAGAACTAATTTTAATAATCATTCGGTTGTGATACAGATTTCCCGTGTCTTGTCACCAAATTTCAGTGCAATAAATCATTATAAGAAACTACAGTTTCATTTTAGAAATAAAATCAAAATGTTGCCCTGTCCCAGTCATTAAAGATTATGATCAGTTTAAAAGCACAAAACCTGCCAAACTGGGAAGTTGTGCTGAACAGTAAGACAAAGTGTTACAGTTGTTTTTCTTTAATCAGAGAAGTTTTCTGTACTGCGTGTCCTAAACTGTAAAGAGCCAGACTGGAAAGGGCTAGAAGACTTCTGAGCAATGTGTGGGTGTGATTGAGGCCAGAATAAAGTGAAATTCTGGAAAGTGCGGATTTTAGTTTTTTAAAGAAAGTTACTAGGCAGAGATTGAGGAACGAATTGACAGATTATTAAAGGAAACTAGGATTTAAAAAAAAAGGAAAGCCTTAGGACATTTGTTTGCCATTTTCTATTAAAAATGTTTTTATTTTTCAGTTTGAAATAGTGCTTAATTTCAAAATAAGATCAAAGATTATGTATTTCAGTTAATTTAGAACTTGCTTTGGGAATGGCGAGAAAAACAATAAACCAGTTCTTTTTACAGCTCTAATTGAACATGAATCCCTTTGCTGGAAAGGGAATACAGATAGCGGGAGCGCTGATTTGGTGCATTGTAGTGGATGAAGTCAGTGGAAGAGTAAGTAACCATTGCATGCTCCCTGTTCTTTCATACCAGTT